CCATCGAGAGTGAGATCAAGCGAGAGCGTGAGAGACAGACCAACCCTTCTGCCATGGTGAGTGGGGTGCACTGAGCTTTCCCCACGCACGTCTGTGAGACCTCATGTGTCCCCCCTCTCTAATCCTGGGCTGGGGACAAATGGGCGCGCTCACAGGGCACGGAGGTGGAGTGCTTTGTTCTCATCTTGTGGGAGGTTGAGGCCCTCCCGGGGTGCCTCATGGTCAGCGTTGCTCGGAAGGCTCCTGCTGCCACCCTGACTGCCGGTCTGCTGCAGCATCACTCTCCAGCCCCTACCTTGGTGGGTTTGGAGCATCCTGGCCTGGAGGGAGGCTGCGGGCGGCTGTCGGGCCACAGAGATGGGGCACGCAGCTCACCTGGGCCCTCTGTCTCGCTGCAGGAAGTGGAGGAGGACGACCCGGTTCCCGAGATCCGCAGGGATCACTTTGAGGAGGCAATGCGCTTCGCTCGCCGCTCCGTCAGTGACAACGACATCAGGAAATACGAGATGTTTGCACAGACTCTACAGCAGAGCCGTGGTTTTGGCAGCTTCAGGTAACTGGGGGGGGAGTAGGGGAAGCACAGCCCCAGAGCAGAGCACCAAGGCAGCTTTCTGCTGGATTCGGGGTAACAAACCCCTCTTCCCCGACACTTTCCCAGCGTGTAACAGCAGCAAGTACACAGTGTGGTGGATGTAGGCTGTGTAGGTCAGTTGTAGCTGCTCTGTTAGTGCTCCTCAAGTCCATCAAGCCTTTTTCCTTTAACACAAGTGGCAGCCATGTGAGCCTTTTGCATGATTCTGCCCTAAGGCTTCATCCCGTTTCTCCTGCCTGTCCTACTTGGCGGTGTTGGCGTGGAGGGAGGGGATTGTACTGACCTGTGAAGAGGTTTTTGAACAGTGTTTCTTTTCTTCCCCTTTTCACTGTTGCACGCAGGTTCCCGTCGGGTAACCAGGGCGGCGCCGGTCCGAGCCAAGGCACAGGAGGTGGCAGCGGTGGCAACGTGTACAGTGAAGACAATGATGATGATCTCTATGGTTAACTTGCTGTCCTCAGTGGACCAAACTCCAAATCAGGTCACGTTGTACAGGGAAAAATCCAATGTTCAATGAACTCTTGGCTTCTTCATTCCTCAGTCAGAACAGTGTAGCTGCACGTCAGACTTTGTACAGGGAATGTTTTCTGCAAACACAAATCCAGACCGTTGTTCAGTTGGGAGGCAGACAGGGAATTAACAAGGAGGGGAACCGACTTAATTTCTGAGAAATTTCTGTTCTAGTTTATGTGGCAGAATCAGCAGCTTTAGCAAAGGGTACAACGCTAGCCTGTATAAAAAAAAAAAAAAAAAAAAAAAAAAAAAAGACCCACGACAGAAAAACAAACACCAAAAAAAAATAAAAAATTCCCCAAAACTCTAGCCAGCCCCCAGCCATTCCTTTGTCTGGTGCTGGCAGCGTCTGTAAACCAGTGTCGGGTGCTGTCCGAGCACTCCTCGCTCCAGTGGAGTCCATCTGTGCGTGTGCTTCCTTGCGTACGGGGTTGCTCTTTGTTCTTAACACCTCTTAGCTCACGTTAATGGAGAAAAATTGGTTTGGCACTGGCTCTCCCCTGCCCTGGCGTGTCAGGAAGCACTGAGTAAGAGCCTGGCAGCAGGTATTTGGTGTTGCTTCTCGGATGCTGGCCCTGAGCTGTCCAATCTCCTGCTGCTTTGTCTCGTCTGCAGCAAAGGACTTCAGCCATCCCTGCCTGAAGGCAGGCAGGAGGGGGCCCTTGGGCTGTCGCTGGGGTCTGTGGTGCAGCGTGGCACTGCTACGGTTAGGGAAGAGGGGAGGGAAGTTCAGCCCATCTCCTGGGGTTTCTCAGTGACAGTCCTGGATCTCTGGTGACCGCTGGCCCTGTGTTGTGCCCCAAACTCAGTAGTTGGGTTCTGATGATGGTTGTTCTCCCTTCCTTTCCACTTCTGCCTCGCTGCCTTGCTCCTTGGTTTATTTTCCCTTTCCTCTGTGCTGCTGCTGCGCTTTGTTTCATGTGAGAGAAGCCCTGGGTCTGGTCCTGTCATGCACACAGGAGTGGGATGGCAGGCTGGATACAGCCCCTGAGCCCACTGGGGGAGCCTGTTTTGGACAGTGGCTGTGTGCTGTCAGCTTTTAGCGGGGTGCAGGAACTGAGGGTTTCTTCAAAGAGAAATGCTCTTTGCAAAAATTTGCAAAAATGCAGATTTTGTGGCAGAAGGTTGCTCCAGGCCTTTGGGGCTGAGCCATGAGGGAGAGGACAATCTTTTCCCCGCCACCCCCTGCCCCCCCCGAAGTTACGTGGCGCCTGGACAGGGGGAATTTCTGCCCCGAAGCCTGGCAGATCTTTGAAGGGTGCCGTCAAACCAGCTAGATTTGAGGGGAGTCTCAAAATGGCAGGAGGACGGGACTGTCCAGGAGAGGGGGCTCGTGCGCTGCAGTGGGGAGAAAGGCGCTGAAATTGGGAACGCTGTGTTTAAATAGCACAACCTCCTGCTGGGGTAGGAGGCTGCGCAGGCCCCGGGGGAGAGGGGGCAGCTCAGGTGCGGCTCTGTCCTACTTGAGAGCGCTCTGGCCCTGTCCTCATGCCACCTCTGTTAGCGAGAGTGCTGCTGCTTGATTCTGCAGGGGCCCTGGCCATCGCCTCCCGCTCTGGCAGCAGGGCTGAGGACGGGAGGGTTGGTGCTTCCCCTGCCCCACACCAGCCCTTTTTTTTGGGTTAACTGGCACCTGGAAACTTTTACGCCAGGGCTGTTTCCATGCCTGTCTTTCTCCCAGCTGCTCTGCAGGGATACAGATGCTAGCTGAAGTTTTGTGTCCTCCTGCTTCACCAGTATACCCGGCTCCTGAGCGAGGCAGCTCCAGCTGCAGGGGGGTAACCAGAAACTAGCTGCCTTCAGCCAGCCAGGAATAGTGAAAGGGCTGCCCTGTACCCCTGCCCAGAGCTTTTTCAGGACTCTCCCCAAAGTCTTCCTCATCTCTGTCAAGGGGTGAGTTCCTCCCTGCCAATTTGGGACCCTCACCACCCAGCACGTGCTGGGGGAAGATCCATCCTGACATCTGCCTGCTGTGGGGGCCAGGGCAAGCAAGGCCTGCGACGGTGGGGTGTGTGTGTCTCAGCTCTTGGCAGCCCAAGTCTTCCCTGCTGCCTCCCCTAATTGCAAATGCTAATTAAATGCAGCAGGAGGGCTGGAAAACCTTCTCTTTCTTCCCTGCTACCTGTGGGACGTGGTTTCTGGTGGGGGTAGCACTCACAAGAGCTCCCAGACCCCCCGCCCTGCAGCAGTGTAAACCTGCTGGGGGGCTGAGGGTGTCCCCCCACAGCAGCGGGGAGCTGAGCTGGGCCCCCCAACCCCCCTGAATCCCTAGCAGCTCCAGTAGAGCAGTTGGTACCGGGGACTGGATTTGGCCCCAGCTCGTGCCCCTTTCTGGGGCCACCCCCTCAGCAGAGACCCCTGATAGCTGCAAGGGCAAGAACCTTCCTGCAGCACCCTCTTCCCCTGACCGGCACCTTGCTGGGGGGGGCTCGGGGGTGAGTGTGCTGGGTGGGGGGGAAAGGAAGAGGCTGTTGGCTGGGGCTTGCCCTGGGTGGTGTGGGATTAGTGAGGGGGGCAGCCCTTTCATTGTCACCGTTGTCGTCGCCTCCCTGTGCCCCCCCGGGGGGGGTTCCCTGTGTGGCTCCTGAGCCATGTTGCACACCCCACACCCCACCCCCCCACACACACACACACACTGCTGCCACAGCCCTACAGCCGGGCCTCACAGAAACCGTGGGGCTTTGGCCGTGACCCTCCTCAGCTAGAGCATTGGGGTTAGATGCTGGTCACTGACCCGAGGGAGTGGGACCCTCCTACAGCATCCCAAACTGTTCTGGGCCCAGCAGACGCAGAGGGCAAGCAGTGGCCACCCTCGGCACGTCCCCTGTGTCACTGGGCCAGCCGCGGACACCTCCCTGGCCCCCAGGACATCCCCTCCCTCCGGGTACCTCCCGGCCCACACGCATCCCCCTCCCCATGGCTATCGCTGCCCCAGGGGCATCCCCCTGCCACAGGCATCCCGCCTCCACCAGTATCCCTCGCTCCATGGATGTGCCCTCCCCACGGAGGTCCCTTCCCCGTGGGTGTTCCTGCTCCCAGGGCTTCCACCCCCTCCCCATGGAGAGCACAGTCAGCCCCCAGGACCGGGGAGGAGCTGTGCTGGCTCTGCCTCCCCAGTCTGCCCAGCCTGTTAGCCGGGGTTAGGTTTTTGTGGGGTGGCTCCACGGCCCTGAACTGTCATCTGGGAGGGGGGCAGTAAGCCACGGGCCTCAGCTGGGGTTTGGGAGCCCGCCTGCTCCCCTCTCGTGGCCTGTCCTTGTGTGCTGCTCCCTGGTGTCAGCAGGACTTTCCCCGGGCGCAGCTTGTGCCGCTGCCTCTCGCCCTGCCCCAGGGATGCTCTGAGAAGAGCTGGGTGCCGGCACCCCTCTCAGCCCTGCCGCGGGCAGCCGGCCCTGTCACCAACCCATCCCCAACCACAGCACCCCACGGGCTGCGTCAGCCACGTCCCGGGAGCCCCGAGGGGACACAGAGCCCCTCACCGGGTCCCCCTGGCAATGCGGTCAGCATAATGAACACCATTCTGTGGGGGAGCAGCCAGCCTGACTGAGGAGGCCACCTCTTTGTTCTTGTCCCCTCGTTACCAGGCCCTGAAGGTCTCGTGCACCAAGCAGACAACCCGAACAGTTTTCTTCTTCCCTTCCCTACCAGCCCCAAGGTTCCTGGGTGACAGGCTGGCTGTTCCCTTCCTCAGTGGCCTTGAGAGTCCCAGGCTCCCCACCAGCCCCGTGTCGACAGCCCTGCAGCAGAGCCCCATCCCCGCTGTTTGCATGAGCACAGACCAGCGCCTCCCACCGAAACACACCCTGAGGAAGTCTATTTTTTAAAATACTTTATTTCTTTTTTTTTTTTTTCTCTCAATACTGACATTAAAAAAAAAAAAAAAGAAAGAAAAAAAAAAAAAAAAAGAAAAAATTTACAAAAAATAACCGCACTATAAAACATTCGGGTCTCATTGAAACCGAGAAAACAAAACAGCTTGCATCTGCGCGCTGGCCTGTCTTCTCGCTCACCATGTCCACCAGGTTTCTCTGTGTCGAAATCCACAGGGACCAGTGGAGGGAACCAGCGGCGTCCCCCCACCAGCCAAACCGGGCAATTAATTAAGCAGTGGCTAATGGGTCTCCTCGCCCCATATGATACGCTATACAGCTGTACACCCAGCCCCTACAGATGCCCCACGCTTGCCCCCTCCGCCCCAAAGGACCCCTGTTTCAAGTCAGTGATTTCTCTTTAAAAAAAAAAAGGATTCCTGGGGCAGGGGGACTATTTTGGCAGGGGTTTTCTCGGCGGTGCTGTGGTGGAAGAGGAGCCGTACAAAGCCAGGTCAAACGCGCCTCCCGCTCCGTAGGAGCCCTTTCCCGGGAAAAAAAAAAAAAAACAAAAAACTGGCACGAGGCAGAGTGGGCCGAGAAAGGTAAGAAATATAAAAATTCTGATGGAAATCCAAAGGTTTTAAAAAAATACAGCATTTAAAAATTAAGCCACCAAGCAGATTGCTTCATGCACCTCTCAGCTCTACTCTGACACCCAGAAATACTTCCTGAATGAATCATCCCTGTAGAAAAATATATACACGCACCTTTCTCTTCTTATTAAAATCCCCAAGGTTGACCTAAAATGCTAGTGAAATCCACAGCTCTGTTCACGCTTGGCTCTGCTTTTGCACCCAGACTTGTGCTACACACCCTCCCTCCATCCCCAGGCTTTTGATGTTCGTGTAGCTGAACAGCCCCTTCCCCCCCCCACCCAACCCTCCCCCCCCCCCCAAAAAAATATCCCCACAAGAAGTCAGGGTGCACCACGCCAGGAACCCCAAAACGGGCACAGAAAAACCCTTACGGAGTTTATCTAACGAGCTCTATATATATGTATTTTAAAAAAAAAAAAAAAAAAAAAAAAAAAAAAAGTAGCAATGCAAACTCAACACATCTGAACAAGAAAGCTCCGCCCTGGGCTTTCCCCCCTCCTCCTGCTGGGGGGGGGGGGGTCTGCGGGCAGTGGGTGCAGGCTGGTGCTGCCCACAGGCACCGGGGTCAAGCCCCGGGCAGGGGCAGGAGGCTGGACGGGACCATCCCCATGTGCTCCGTCATTTGGCACAGCCGAGGCTCGGTTGTAGGCTTGGCACAGGACAGTGGGCCACGGCCGGACTCGGTACCGTGGTCCGGGGTGAGAAACAGTCCGGCTACGGGGGGGGGTGCGGCCACCACGGGCGAGAGAGATTGGCACCGTGGTACAGCCAGGACCCCGAACAGCAGCAAGTATCAAAGAGAGGAAGAGAAAAACTAACAGTGGGGACGCCAGATCCTGCGGAGTCCTATTTACACTGCGCCGGACCCCAAACAAGTCCAGCCTTTTGTGGGAAAAGTGGCCTGAAAAGCAGGTGACATAAAAACCCCACAATGTGACGCAGCTCCCCGGGCAAAGGGAGCACGCTGCTCGCTTGTGCGAGGTGGAAAAGCTGGACCTCTGGGGGAAAAAAAAAATAAAATAAAAAGTTTGGCAGCCAGGAGAGCTGTGATGGGCAGGAGTCTCCCCGCTGCTGGAGTAGAAAACAGGCCAAGGATGGATGGGGACAGGGATGGATGGGGAGTGGGATGGGTGGGGGGGAGTGGGATGGATGGAGCGGGGTGGGATGGATGGATTTTTTGGGGAAGGGAAGTGGTGTGAGGGCGTTTTTTTTGTTGGGTTTTTTTTTTTTTTTTTTTTTTTTTTTGCATTTGAAAGTGCTGTGGCACCTCTGCTCAGCGCGGGCCGGGTGCTGCGGCACGTACGTTTGGAGTATTGCTGCTTGGAGGAGAGTCCCCAGGCTCTAGGAGCACGGGAGGTGCTGCTTGAGGATCTGTCTTGTCTGGGGAGCTATTCTGTCCGGGAAGCGGATTTTGAACTCCACGATCAAGTCTCCTCGCTGGCTGGGGGCTTTGGGGAAGGGCAGCCCCTCCCCGCGCAGTCTCTTCACGGTCCCCGGCTTGATGATGTCGTTGCAGGGCAGCGGGATCACCCGCCCGTCGATGGTGGGAATGTTCACGGTGCAGCCACACAAGGCCTGGGGGGGGGGGAGAAGAGGGGGGGGACACGCCGTCAGACAGGGCTGACACCCCAAAGCACCCTGACACCCCAAAGCATCCCAACGGCCACACCCCATCCTCCCGCCGGCGGCTCCCCAGGTTAAGCCGCCCAGCTCCACTTGGACGATGCCCAGGAGCGTCGGCTGATGCTCACCAGGTCTCTGCTGGTGACGGCCCGGTTTAACCACCACGAACTGGGCTGCAGGAGAAGGATGCCCCAGGCGAGGGGTGCCCCAGCCTCATGGGGGAAGGACCCCCCCCTCCCCACCTCCTGGGCCACCCAGGAGGCACCACCAGCAAGAAGCGCCCAGCCACTCGCAGCAACAGGACGGGCTAAATTTAGCCCCTTTCCCAGCCTTGCTGCCCAGCCTCGGGCAGCCAAAAATCCAGCTGAGATCATCAGATGCTGCCGTGGTTCATCAGCTGTCACCCTCCGGAGCCCGGCAGCTCTGCCCGGCGCTGGGGGGTTATCTATAGCACAGCCCGCATCCCGTCCCCCCCGCAACAACAGCCCCCCCAAAAGGTTACGCTGGCACGAGGTGGCAGCGCGGCCGCGGCACGGCGACGAGCTTTCCTAGGAGACAGTCTGGTCCCCCCCTCACCGGTCCCTGTTGCAAAGCCAAGAGCCGGTTTCGTGGGTACCACCCTGCTGTACCCCAGCCCCCCCCCCCCCGCAGTCGCCGGGGCAGTGGGTGCCGCGGCAGCCGCAAGCCGGCCTGCATTAGCGAGCCACGTGACGCGGGAATGCAGCAAGAAAATCCTTGTGTCCTTAAATAACTCAGACAGCACTGGCGTACACGTGGGCAGGATCGTCTCCAGGCTTTCGGCAAGGGCTGAGAGAGAGGACTGCGGAGCGATGTTTCTGGAAGAGGGGGGGGTGGAGGTTTGCTGGGGTACAGCCTCAAGCTTCCACGCAGGGAGCTGGCACAGGTTCGCCTCTCTGAGCTGGGCCCCGACCCCCCCGAAAGACCCTGCAAAGGGAGGGGAGGAGGATGGAATTGCTGTTCCTGGGGCAGATAGCGGGGGGATGTCCTGCGTTTCCCTCCCCGGAAAAAAAAAGTCCGGTGGCAAAGCAGCAACAGGCACCAGGAGAAACATCTCTTCTTCTCGTGCTGGCCATTGGCTCAGGGGTGATGGCTGAGGCTGAGCCAGGGCTTTGCACCAGCCTGATTGCAGAGGGACCTGTGCCAAAGCCAGCTGGGGAGCTCCAGTGGGTGGGGAACAGGAGAGATGGGGCTGTCTCCTTGCACAGCTCATCTGCACGGGGTCTGCTCCTGGGAAGAGTGTCCTCCAGGGCTGAGCTTTTCTGCCTGCAAGGAGGATGCCCATCGCCAGCTCCGTGTGAGCAGTGGGTGTTTGGCTGGATCTCTAGCAGGTTGCAGAGGGGGAACCAAAGGACGATCTCCCCCGTCAATGCATTTCTGCTCCGCGCTCGCCTGAAGATGCCGGAGTCCTCCTGCTCACTGGTGCTCGCTGCCATGCGCCACGGAGGGCTGCACGGGTTCATGTGTGCCAGGGAAAGGACATCTCCAGCCACAAAGCGGGAAGGAGAACAGTAACTCCCCACGGGAGCACGTGGACACGGCAAGCAGAGGGATGTGAGCAGGAACGGGTGGTAAAAGCAAAGGCAGACAGGATCTTAATGTTTCCTTCCAAGAGCCAAGATGTAAGAATCCGAGGTGATCGCTCCTCAGCCATATGTCCCCATTTTTCATTCTTCTTGCTCAACTTCGCTGGCATTTGGGAAGCCGCTTGTTGAAGTAACACCAATAACCACGGGAGCTGCCCGCATCCTAGAAAGAGGCTCGTTTTATCTCTAGGGATGAAATCACCCTGGGTTTGATAGCTGAGCGCCGTGCTGTGAGAGCAGAGCTTTATCTAGGTCAGCGCTAGGTCCTCCTCCGCTCTCAGCAAAGCTGCTGGGGGGGATGCTGCCACCAGTCGCGTCTCAGCCGGGCGCTGACGCGTTGGATGCTTCGAGGAAGGTGACACCAGGTAAAGGATGGAAAGAGGGTGGGCTCCCGAGGGCCAGTGTTATGCCTGCAATTTTAGGAAGGGACACTTCCCCGCAGCCCACGAGTCCCTGGGGAAGCCCTCATACACCTCCGGCTTCTGCAGCAGCCTGGTGGCAACCAACCCACACCACCTCGGCCCGGGGGATGTGGCACCCAGCGAGGCAGGGACTTGAGGGCTGGGAGGACATTGCCTCCCTGGGGTTGCTCTCTGGGACGGAGGAGGAGGAGAAGGAAGATGCTCTCCCGAGTGCCCCCAGCCGAAGCACCGGGTGGTTGGCTCCCCAAGGCAGCAGAGTGCTGGCGAGGGGTCTCCAGCACGGCCAGGATTGGGGTCACAGCACCCACTGCCTGCCAGCTCTGCCTGCTGGCACTGTGCTGTGCTGCTCTCATGGCAGGGGAAGAGATTAAAACTAAAAAAGGCAGACTCACAAAGAGGAAGGGTGCAAGGAGAGTGCCCAAGACTATGGCCGTAGGCTTAGGTGATGAAGAGGTTGTACTCCCTCATATACTGAGGTGGTGGCATATGGAGTTGGGGAGCTCCTGGCATCTCCTTGTGCTCCAGAGCACTTAAGGTACTTCTCATGGAAGATAAAAGAAGCAGCGTATCCCCCTGCCCTGGCAGGCAGCATGCTGGGGATGGCAGCCGGGCTGGCAGCTCCCCGAGGATGACCAGCATGTGGGGTTTGCGGTGGGGGAGGACAGAGACCAGAAATTCCAGCTCAAAGAAATAAGGAATTTGCCCGAACCAGCAGTTTTCCACTTTGTGGCTGCAGCGTGCAAACCAAACGCCAGCAAGCACGCCGTGCTCGCGGAGATCACAGGCGCCCGGCACCAGCACCTCCGGTGCGGCAGCACGTGGAGATGGAGGTTTCTCCACTTGCTGCTCAAAGGGCAACTCCAGGCAAGAGTCCCTCTGGCTGGAGAAGTGCATGGATCTGGGCTAACGTGGTCTGGACATCAGCACAGCCAGCCTGGGGTTAATTTTACAGATAGGGGAATGCACAGAAGGAAACATCTGAGATATGGCATGCATGGCTCCATAAATAAGGCAATGTCTCCCCAGTATTTCTGGAGTGGCCAGGGGAGCCAGCCACCACAGGAATAAACCTCTGCACTTTGCACTGTGAAGAAAATTCAACTCCTGGGTCTGCAGGTTAACTTGAGCTGAGTTTGCTCCGGGAGCACCCAGCTCTGCCTGACCCACGTGGCCGCTCCTCGCCCCCAGTACACCCGGTCACAGCCCCAGCTGGGAGCCATCACAAAGCTCTCCTAACTTGCTGGCACACTAACGAGCTCACATTTCCCCACCTCAGGTCTGGCCCATTGAGCTTATTTCTATTACATGCGTTTGAGAACATAAATCTGTCTTCAGGAAAAAAAAAAAAAAAAAAAATCAGCTCATTAAGAAGACAGACAGCATCTACAGTCTGAAGGAACAGCAATGGCAGCTGCCAAAAACGTCAATGTTAAATGCAGCTGCCAGCTGGGTTTTATTAAAAGGAAGTTATACAGCAGCGACAGTGAATGGCACATCTTTTACTGGGGTAACCTCCCCTTTTTCTCCCACCTTCATGCAGCTCGCTGGCTCTGATGCGTCCAGGCCTGCTGTGACCTCCGGGACTGGTAGCCTGGATGTGTCAGGTTTTGCTCACTGCCTGAATATTTTGTTTATTTGTTTTTCATCAAGGAAAGATAGAACCAAGGAAAACAGCTAAAGCTTGCTCAGGGGAGGGCGAGGTACTACATTTCTTGGCGTGAGCCTGCTCTCTGTCTCCGGGGAGAGGCACCCGGTGCTATCCCGGACAGCAGCTAAACTGCAGCAGGCTCAGCTACGAGGACAAGCAGGGACCAGACTCATGCCAGCTGACTTGGGTTTTCCCTTGATCCTACAGAGGATCTGGGCTCTCTTCCACATGTGAATACCCTATCCTAAAATAGAAGGACAAGACAGATGGGAAAGGGAGAAAATGAATAAATACCACCTGTATTGGCTCACGAAGCAAGGTGCGTTCAGCAGGGGCAGCAGCACCCGTGTCCTACACCTGTCACAGAGGCTGAGCACCTCCAAAACCAAGCACGAGTTGGCCTACGCAGTTCCTCCCTGCTGAGGTCTATGCTCGTGTCTCTCACGACCTACCTGGTCCCTTCTCAGGAGAAGGGCTGACTCCTGTCTTGGCCCCACATACCACCCCCCAGCGCTGCTTCCCGCCTCATGGGATTTCCCACCCACACCCACCTCTTTAAGACTGATGTTTGCTGTGTAGACCACGTTCGTCCCATCCCTCTTGAAGTGCGGGTGAGGCTTGTCCCTGAGGATGAAGACGATGTCAGCAGGGATGTTGTCCGGGGTGGCGTCCCCTTCTTTGGGGAATGTGATTTTGGTTCCCTCCTTCCAGCCCCGTTTGATGACAATGTTTAGGATCTTGTCCTCAGTCCGCGTGGTTCGGCCATCAGCACTGAGCCTCCTGCGTGTGATCTTCATCCTCTTGGTGGACCCGTGGTAGATCTCTTCCAGGGACACCTTGAGCTCGTGAATGATGGGTGGGTCTTGGACCCTCCTCCGCATGTGCAGGGACTCTTGGTGCCGCCGGTGAACCCCGTTGATGCCGTTGAAGCCAAACCGGCCGAAGGCACTGAAAGGGTCGTCATCGTCATCGAGATCCATGTCTTCTTGGTCAAAGCCATTGAATATCCGGGAGCGGCTGCTAGCGAAGAAGACATCGAAAGGGTTGGAGCCTCCGAAGAAGGACGCAAAGGTGGCGTGGGGGTCTCCATGGAAGGTGTAGTGGGAAGTGTTTCCTGAGCCACCCGAAGAGCCACCTCCCGTTTTGAGGCCTGGAAAAGAAGGGGGAAGACAAGACATGAATGCTCCCTGCTGGCGGATGCCTTGCCAGGACCGCACTTTCCAGGCAGGAGCGTAGTCTCTGCTGGCTCCAGGCATCCTTTCCAGCATCTCCCAGGGGTGCAGGTCACCCCCTCCAGCCCAGATGCTTGCAAAGAGCGCGGGCCACGCAGGCAGCACCTCAACCCGTGACACACAGTCCCACCCCTACACCCATCAAGCTGAAGATCTATTCAGGTTTTGCCCCTGCTATCCCTACTGAAATGTTTCTTTGGCTCCCTCCACCCGTTTCATGGCTTTTCTTTCGAAACACTTTCTGACTAGCCCATCTCCATCCTTCCCCATGGGCAGGCTCCCTTCTGCCCAAATAGCCCTGTCTCTTGGGCTGCGCCGACGGCCACAGTCCAGGAGCACCGTGTCCTGCAGGTGAGAACGGGTTTGAGCTCAGTGAGCGACCTTGACTCTGGGTGGCAGAGCAGACAGAGGTCAGCAGGCCTCCAGGCTGGCACACAGCAACCTGCATAGAGGCCGTACAACATGCCAGGTGAGCTCAAAGTTTGGATCTTGGGGCAACCGCTCCCGTGGGAAACTCTCCTGACAGGTCCAGGGCTGAGCCTTACATCACTGCAACTCCCCCAAAGTCCCAAGCAGCCAAGGCACATGACAAGTGCCCCCCCCCCGCCAAAGGGGTCACAGATGCTCTGCAAGGCTATTTTTGACCAGGAGGGGCAGGAAGGGTTAAGCCAAGCCTAGCTCAAGGACTATTTTCAGGGCACGCAGGTGACGGTGGTGGAGGGCTATTTCTGACAGGCTGTCCCTCGTGCCAGCCTCCCGAAGCGAGATATAGGAGGGGGACAAGCACAGAGCAGGCAAGTCGGGGGGTCTTTTCCGATCAGTGAAGTGAAGGCCTGGGGGGCTTTCACTTCCCCTTGCCCTCTGCAGCATGTGGGACCCAGAAGCCCCTCAAAATGCTAATCCCCAAGACGCGCTGCTCCAAAAAATGGCATCTCATGAGAAACGAAAGGTGTGTGGGGGCTATGGGCTAGTCAAGGAGGGGGCTGCTCTTCCCTCTCTCCTTAACATGCTCTTATTTTAGATGCCTTCAGGCAACGGGGATTTCACCAAATCCCTGGCAAGCCCTTGTCCCCGACAGGCTGTACAGCCAGGAGGTTTCACCTTAAATCCCGTGACGCCAGCCCGAGCTGGGTCCGATTTCGGCATTGCCCCGGGGGAAAGGCTGGTTTCCCACTTGAGACGGTCTTTTCTCATTTTACAGGGTGGCAAATCACTGTTCCTGGTGCATCCATCATAGTCCTGACATAACTAACGGGTTGAGAATTAACCCACTGCTGGTTAATTCTGCCAGTGGCTCGTTAGGGGGATGCACCTGCCTGCTGGCCCGGCAAGAGGGGCTGCCTCTTCCACGCAGCAGACTGTTCCTGCTAGACCTCCTGCTCTTTTAAGCACCCAAGTCCTGGGCTGATTAATGCAGATGCTATTTGGTGCTCTCCTCGAATGGGGTTGCACTCTTCCATCTTCGACTAATAAGGCCGCCTGCGGTGGAGTGCTCGCCTCCTCCGTGCCAACCACCAGACAACAGCAGCCGCTTGGTTTCAAAACAAGGACCTATTACTTAAATTGGGAAAAGCTTTGAATCCTGTAGGTCAGCCTGTACCAGGGAGGACAGCGGGACCAGCGCCCAAGTGCAGGGGGGAACGCGGGCAAAAGCAGTGCTTCTCTGCTGGGACATTTAGGTTAATTAAAGGATGGCTAGCGAATTACCCCAGGTATGACTCAGGAGGTGAGCTCCCTCCACTTCCATCGCCTGCCTCATCCAGCTGTTGGGGCTTCGGGACAGCGGGCAGGGAGAGCCCAGCCATCCCAGGAAACGGTGTGCAGGGTTGGAAAAGTGAAGCAGACCAGGGAGGAGCAGGGTGAAGGGCGATTTCTGGCACCTGCAGAGCCTTCATGCTCCCCGACGCTGCGGCTACCAGCCCTGTTTCAGACCCAGAGGCACGAAAGGAACACCTCTATGTGAAGCGCTCCCTTGCCTGTAAAAAATTATTTAGACCCTGCACCCCTGCTTTCGAGTGGGCAGTGCTCGTCCCCTTACCTTCCTCTCCGTACTGGTCGTAAATGGCCCGTTTCTTGGGGTCATTCAGGACATCATAAGCCTCTGCGATCTCCTTGAACTTCTCCTCGGCGTTGGGGTCTTTATTCTTATCGGGGATACTTCAGGGCCATTTTCCGATAGGCTTTCTTGATTTCATCCTCGTTGGCGCCGGCCTGGATGCCCAAAATCTTGTAATAGTCCTTCACCATGACGGCGACGCTGCCGGGAGGCGAGTACTTATTCCTGAAAGCAGAAGGACAGCTCTCTGTAAGGCAGGTGCCTGGGACAGCCGGGGATGGGACCAGCACGCCCTTACTGTGGAGCCGACGCTCCCCGCGTCCCGCTGGCCAGCAGCACCAGAGCCGGCTCAACCCCACGCCTTCGCACCAGCGATCAGAGCCCCGGTGCCAGGACGCGGCCCGGCTCTGTTTTTACCCCCCCGAGCCCCACAGCAGGGACGGGGAGACTCATCTCTGAGGCTGACGAGGAGAGGAAGAGCCCGAGCCGCGGCACGGCGTTATTATAGGGGCCACGCCACTGCTAACGTCAGGCCAGGCCCGTGTCCCTGTCCCGTCCCCCCCGTGCTGAGCCAGGAGGGCTGAGCTATGTCTAAATGTAGCCGACAGCCCGTGTCTGCTTCCCCCCCCCCCCGCCCCGTTTCTCTCCCAGCCGGGGACCAGGGACCCGAGTCGGGGTGATGACAGCAAGTTTTTGGAGGCTGAAAGCAGCAGCAGGGACCGTGCTGCTGCCTTCACCTTAAAGGAACTTCAAACATTTTGTTTCCTGAAAGCAATTGGCATTCAGCTGGAGATAAGCGCCTCCGGCTGTCAGAGCCGTAATTTGTATTTAGCGAAGAGAGAACGAAGCCGTTAGACAGAAACATCTTGTGATGGTAGGAGGGCTTTTTTATTTTTTTGTTTAAAAAAAAAACCAACCCAACACTTTCTAGCCTGACTTGCACTCCCCGAGAGCCTTCAGCTGCATCTTGCAGTCAGCCAGTAACGCAAGGCTCACTCCCTCCATCGCGTCGGGGCCAAGACCGGGGCCATGCCTATACTAAGGCATGGAAAACCCTATGACCATAATTCATCCCCCAGTCGTGCCGCTGGAGTCACAGGGACCCGGGAAGCAGCTGGTGGAAACAGGAGGGCAGCCCCTCAGGGAGGAGGCTGAGAAAGCCCCACGCTCCTCCAAGGACGCTTCCTGCTGCTTCCCGATCTCCAGTTACCCGACAGCAAACTCCTGACCCACCCCCAGCACAGCCTGCACCCCTGCCTGCCTCGCACAGCACAGCTCAGTGCTTGCTGCTGACCCTGCTTTTCTCCACGCTTTGCCCCCGCAGACCCACCGCTCTCTGCTAAGCCCTCCTGCTCGCATTCTGCTCCCCGCTACGGTCCAGGCTGCACCCCCATCCTTGCTCCAGACGCCGCCGGGGCGGCCCCAGCTCATCGTGCCCCTGCAGCAGGCAGATCTCTGCATGGGGTGAGAGCTCTGGCCCTTTCCTTCACCATCATACAAGCTACCAGATGTCCTCCCCCCCCCGTCCTTACTCCATATGGTCCCGGAGGAGGTCACAGAGGGACCCCCCAACCACGGCAGCTCAGATGAGGGTGGTTGGGCCCCCCCGGGGTGCATACCCGTGGCACAGCACTGAGCCTCTGGCATCCATCCCAAGCATCCAAGGCTTGCCTTGGGTCACGCCTCGGGAAACAACCCCTCTAAAACTGCGTAGCTGCTACAGGGGCTTGGAAATGGGCCCCATCCTTGGCCACCTCGATCCAAATCACCGACTTCTGCTCTTTTTCGCCCCGGCCGTGGGGCAGACACCGTGCTGTAGGTGGGGGAAGCGGGGCTGAGGCACCCGCGGCACTGACGGACACGGTGAGGGGAGATGGGGGGCACCCCTGGGTGCGGGCGGCAGCCGGCGGGGGGCACAGAGGAGGTGGGAGAAGGTCCCTGGGGGGCGTAAAGAGCATCCGACAGCGTCTCCCGCGGCAGCTCCTGGGTGCCAGCACGTTTCCGTACCCGCTCCTGCGCGCGGAGCTGCCGCCAGCACCCAGCCCACGCAGGCGCTGGGGGATGCTCTGCCCTCCTCCCGCCTCTGTCTCCCCATCTGCCCTCCCCGCAGGGCCGGGGGGGGGGGCTACGGGAGACCCTGGGGTGAGCAACAGGCGGCTAGGGCTGAGAGGTAACCTGTCAATCCCCTCCGCCAAAGGTCACCCCAACGGCTCCCCCTCCCCACGGCGCGGGGCAGGGGCTCCCTGCGACCAGCACCAGGACCTGGACCGGGATTTGGCCCACCTGGGTGACGCTAACCCTCCTGTAGCCAGGGCAAGCTGAAAACAACCCCCGTCGCACCCCGGCTTGAGAGACGCGGAGGTGGCAAACCCTCCGTTTTCCCCTCCCGGGGGCCACAGCAGCCGGCTCTGACCCCGCGCAGCCCAATCTGACGGCACCGCCGCGACCCCCCCCCTCGCCCGGCCGAAACCCCACGGCGCTTCCCACGAAAATACACCCCGTCCCGACAAAACGCTGTCACACACACCCCCCCCCACCCCCCCCCGGCAAGATCTTGACCGCCGAGGGGTCCTTCGCCAGGGTGGGGGTGCCCGCCGGGGACGCTCTCCCGGCTCAGCCTCGTCTGGCTGTGCTCGGGGACGGGGTGGGGGGTCGGATTTTCTGTACTGAGGACGCATCCCCGTGCTGCGGTTTACCGTGCCGGTGAGGACCAGCCGCTGGCGGGTGACCCGGTGGGTTAAGGCACGCTCCGGAGGCGACGCTCGCTCGCGTGATGATGGTAAAACACGACTCTGTCCCCGCAGAGCCTCCCTCCTTCCTTCCCACCTCCTGGGGATCAGCTGCGCCTTGCCACCGATCTTCTCCCCCTTCTGCTCAGTCATCCTCTCCTGCCTTCCTATTTAACCCCCTCGGGAGCAGGGGGGACTTGGGGGGGGGGGGGGGGGCAAGGCGACGCAGGGCGGGTTTCAGGCGGGCAGAGACATTCCTGCGTGTCCCGTGAACAAGCCAAGGCCACCTGGCCCTGCGAGAAAACAAGCATTCCCCAGCTCCGCCAAGGCAGCCCAGCCTCCATCCTCCTCTTGCAACCACACCAAAAAAAAAAAAAAAAAAAAAAAAAAAAAAAAAATTAATTCTTTGTTCCGGCCCTGCACATGACATCAGCCTGTGCAACCGCTGGACGAGCGCACCAGCTGAATAGCGATCATTTGACATAATCTCTCCGTTCAGCAGTCATCTAAGGGAACAAACCCACCCCAGCAGGGGAACCGGGGAGATTTACTTCCCCCCCCCCCCCCCCCCCCCCCCGTCTCAGGGTGCAAGGTCACCGCAGGACGCCAGGGACAGGCAGTTTAACGAGGACACAAGGTCGAGAGGCGGAAACCCACTTACCGAAACTTTACGAACACATTCAGAGTCCAAGCCGTCATTTTTAAAGGCTCTAGTTTTATTTAAACATCGCGGATGTCCGCAGGCGCCGGCAGGTGACCCGTGCCCGGCCGGGAGGCACCGGAGGGTGGCAGGAGGACGGCGGAGAGAAAGGTGCCGGCTCGTGCCGGGGATGCCGCCGCCGCCCAGGGATGCTCCGGTGGCGAGCCTCCCCCTCCACCTCCTCCGGCTCCCCGAAAAGGCAGCTCCTCGCCAGCCCGGCGGCCACGGTTGGCTCTGACCTCCGCTCCCTGGACGGCTCCGAAAGGGCTTCGGCGGCAGGCGAGCAGGCGTAGGCGCGGTGCTGCCGGGGAGCTGCCGTCCTTTGTGCGCTTCCCAGCCGCGTGCGGCGGGGACCCTTCAGCGGAGTCGCTTGCTGAGCCGCAATTTTCCTTTTAGCTGGTTTCTTGACGCTTTTCTCGCCAAGCGGATGGATTAAGACACTTCTGCCGTCAGCTCCGGCATCCTCCCTCCCCGCTGTCTGCTGCAGGGCACCCGGCCGCCCCGTTACCGTCACGTCCCCCGCTCAGCCCCCGCCGAGGAGCGGGGAGCGCAGCCAGGAGGCCCCCCCCCCCCCCCCCCTCCTCTCCGGCGTCCCCAGAAACGACTTTGCTGACGCCCGGGGCTGTGCACCCACCAGGCGAATCGGGTAGGGAGAAAAGTAGGGCGGCGGTGATGTGGGTAAAAAAAAAAAAAAAAAAAGTCACGTTAACCAATTTGCACCTCCCCGGCTTTTTTTCCCCTTCGGATGCGCGGGGGGTCTCTGTGTGCCCCTCACCGGACACTGGCACCGGTCCCCCCCGGGTCCGATGGCCGCGCTCCCAGCCAGCGACCAGGGCTCCCCCCTCCTCAGCGAGGGCACCAGGACGGTGCCTCTCCTCCCAGCCCGGCGGCACGAAACCTACTTCTGAGAAGTCACCTTCAGGTGATCCAAGAAAATCCAACGACACCGCGTTTCCCCCCACCACCACCACCACCGCCTCGCTCCCCCCCCCTCCCCGGTCCATCACCATCACTCGCCGTCCACCGGAGAGCATCCTCTCTGGATGCCCCACACCAAAACCGGGCAGCCGTACCGGGGTACCACCGGGCGGCTCCTGCATCCCAACCTCGGCAAGCGACACGCCGGGCAGGCGGCAGCCCCCAGCCCCACAGCGTCCCCGAGGGTTGTGGGGTGCTGGTGGGGGGGATCCGGCGGCTCGGTGGGCACCGGGGTGGGCGAGCCGGGGTGGGTGCGTACCTCTCGGCGCGGCTCCAGAAGAGCAGGATGGCCGGCATGGCAGCGCGTCCCGGGTTTGGTCAGGGAGCCGGAGGGGATCTCGTCGCGCCGGGGCAAGCAGAGCCACCCGTGCCCGTGCCGGCTGGCAACCGCAGGCAACCAGGCAGCAATGTCATGACTACCCGCAATGAATCATCCCCTCCCCGGGCCCCCACACGTACCGCCCGCCTCCCCCTCCCCACCGACAGCCCCACTGGGGTGCCGGCACCTGCGTGGGGACGGGGTTAACCCTCCCCTCGCTGTCTCTGCCAGCGCGGCCCCCGCTGCCAGCCCCGCCGGCTGCTGCCTCCTGCGTGGGGACGGGTCAAGGACCCCCCCCCCCCTCAATGTCTCCCCATATAGGGTCCCCCATTTCCATGCCCACGGGGTGCTGCCTCCTGCGTGGGGACGGGTGTCAAGCCCCACTCTCCGTGCCCCCCCCCCTCCAGGTTCCCCCACTTCCAGCCCTATCGGGTGCTGGCTGCTGGGTGGGGACAGGGTCAAAGCCCCCCCTTGCTGCCTCCCCATATAGGATCCCCAATTTCCAGCACCGCTGGGGGGCTAACACTGGTGTGGAGATGGGGTCAAGCCCCCCCCCCCCAAACATCCCTCCATATAGGGTCCCCCATTTCCACTCCTGCGGGGTGCTGGCTCCTGGGTGGGGATGGGGGTCAAGCCTCACCTCTCCAGCACCTCCCCACAGAGGACTCCCCCTTTCCAGCCCCACTGGGAAGCTCACACTGGTGTGGGGGGGGGACAACAGGGTCAAGCCCCGCAACGTCTCCCCATGTCGGGTCCCCCCCTTTTCCAGCCCCACCGGGGTGCTCACGCTGGTGTGGGGATGGAGTTAAGTGCACATCCCACACCCCCCAGCCCCCCCCCCCCCCCAGTAGTCCCACAGGTGGTGTGCCATTTTAGGGGTACCCCATTTAGGGGCTCAGTGAGGAGCTGTCACCTGCGTGGGGAGGGGTTCACACCCCACCCCCCCCTCCTCCTCGCCCCACCAGGACGCTGGCCTGGGGTGACCCCTCCGGACCCACTGGGACCCACTGTCTGCCCCAGGGGGAAAGCAGGTTAACCCTTTCCTCCCCACCGCCAGCTCTCCTGGGGGACACTGTCACCTCGACTGGGGACAGAGGTTAACTGCTTCCTTGCCGGATACCATCAGCTGGAGGTGAGGGGGGGGGGGGTGGTGGGGGGGGGTTACCTACTTCCTCACCAGTCAGTTCGGCCCCACTGGGACACACCGGTACCCCCTTCGGGGTGGCGGTGGTGTTAACCCCTTCCTGGCCACAGCACACAGCTCCAGCAGGGCACATTGTTCTCTCCAAAGCGGGAGGGGGAAGAGGGGTTAACCCTCACCCCACCGCCCCCTCCAGCCCCACAGGGCTGTTTTACAGCCCCATGGGGGGGGGGGGGCGTGGGGGTGGGGTGGGGGGTGTTTAACCCCTTTCTCCCAGACCCGCTTGGATGCACCGTTACTGTTACGGCGCAGGGGTGTTAATCCTTTCCTCCCACCCATTTCAGACCCACGGGGACACACTGGCACTAGGTAGGGCAGAGCAGTTAACCCTGACCCACAACTCCACCAGGAAACCTTGTCACCCCATGGGGGCAGAGGCACTAAGCCCTTCCTCCCCTGCCTTCAGCCCCATAGGGACGCCGTGTCATCCCATGGGTACAACGGGGCTAGCGGCTGGCCTCTGCTCCCCACCCAGGTACGGGCAGTGGGGCCAACCTCCCCTTCCCACCTCCACAGTGGCACCCTGTCACCCCACGGGCAGAGGGGCTGACCCCAACCAGCCCCAAAGGACACAGTGTCACTCCATAACCCTCTCATCGGGGCAGCCTGTCACCCCACGGGTGCAGAGGGGCTAGCCTCCCTCCCAGCCCCGCAGGGGAAACCTGTAACGCCATGGGGCAGAGGGACTGAGCCCCACAGCAACACCCTGTCACCCCACAGGGAAGGGGGACCGAACCCCCTAGTCCCACTGCATCACCCTGTCATCCCCAAAGGGCTCGGGGACTGACACCCCCAGCAACACCCTGTCACACCCAGGGCTGAGGAGTTGACACCCCCCCAGCCCCACCGCATCACTCTCTCACCCCACAGGGCAGGAGGACTGACACCCCCAGCAACACCCTGTCACCCCACAGGGCTGGGGGACTGGCACTGCCCAGCAACACCCTGTCACCCCACAGGGCTGGGGGACTGGCACTGCCCAGCAACACCCTGTCACCTCACAGGGAATGGGGACTGACCCCCGCTAGCCCCACTGCATCGCCCTGTCACCCCAAAGGGCTGAGGGACTGGCCCCCTCCAGCATCACCCTGTCACCCCACAGGGCTGGGGGGCAGACCCCCTTCAGCCCCACAGCATCACCCTGTCACCCCACAGGGCTGGGGGACAGACCCCCTTCAGCCCCACAGCATCACCCTGTCACCCCACAGGGCTGGGGGACAGACCCCCTTCAGCCCCACAGCATCACTCTCTCACCCCACAGGGCAGGAGGACTGACACCCCCAGCAACACCCTGTCACCCCACAGGGCAGGAGGACTGACACCCCCAGCAACACCCTGTCACCCCACAGGGCAGGAGGACTAACATCCCCAGCAACACCCTGTCACCCCACAGGGCTGGGGGACTGGCACTGCCCAGCAACACCCTGTCACCCCACAGGGAATGGGGACTGACCCCCCCTAGCCCCACTGCATCGCCCTGTCACCCCAAAGGGCTGAGGGACTGGCCCCCTCCAGCATCACCCTGTCACCCCACAGGGCTGGGGGACAGACCCCCTTCAGCCCCACAGCATCACCCTGTCACCCCACAGGGCTGGGGGACAGACCCCCTTCAGCCCCACAGCATCACCCTGTCACCCCACAGGGCTGGGGGGCAGACCCCCTTCAGCCCCACAGCATCACCCTGTCACCCCACAGGGCTGGGGGGCAGAACCCCCCCCCCGCCTCTCAGGGACACTCTGCCGCCGCAGGGGGCGGAGGGGCCGCGCCGCCGCCCGCACCGGGAGGCGGCAGCGGCGCCGTGGGGGTGTGTGGGGCGGCGGTGTGGGGCAGCGCGGTGGGGCAGGGCCGCCGCCGCCCCCGACACTCACCGCTCGCGCTGTCCCGGGGCGCCGCGCGCTCGCTGAGCCCGCCCCTCCGCCCCCGCCCCCGCCCCCCCCCTCCCCCCGCCGGCCGGCCACGTCAGGGGAGTCCCGCCCGCGCGCGCCCCGCCCCGTTGGGCCTGCAAGGTGCCCGTCGCCGCGCCGCGCCGCGCTGATTGGCTCACCCCGAGGGGCGGGGAGGGGGAAAGAGGCGGGGCGAAGGGCGAGGGACCGCCCCTCCCGCCCGCCCTCCTCGCCCCACCCCCCCATCCGCCTCCTCCTATTGGTCAGTTCAAGCCGGCAGCGCCCCCCCCGGCGCTCTCCCATTGGTCGGGCTCTCGCTTAGGTAAGCGGCGGGATCCCCCGGGGGAATCTTCTGGAAGGCCGTGACGTCATCGGGGCGTTGCGCGTTCACGCTTTTCTCCTTACCCCCCCCCCCCCCCACACCCACCCCCCCACCCCCCCCACCCGCCGGGGTCCGTGGGACCCTCCCCGCCCCCCCCGCGGCGCTGTGGGGTGCCCCGCGGTACGTGGGGGGGAGGGAAGCGACCCCCCCCCCCCCGACATCGCTGCCTGGGGGGGTGGCGGGGAGTGGGGACACACACACACACACACACACACACACACACCCCCCACACCCCCCCCACACACCCCCCCCCCCACACACACACCCCCCACACACCCACCCCCACCCCCCACA